TTGCTCAGGCAGGCAGGTAGGCTGCCAAGTCGTTCAAACTAAACAAAAAAGAAGTAAGTCTTTCCTTCATTTAATTGGTGCTTTTTTTCCCCCTGGGGGGGCGGTGTTACCGGGGCCACGTACTCCGGACTACTCCGGACCTTGCGTTCGCGAGGCAGGCGAGGGTCCCGTGGAGCTGAATCTCCGCCCTGTGCACACCCCTCTCCATTCCTATAAACGTTTTTAGTGCCGGGGATCAGTCCCCACAGAGGGGCCCGCGCCCGGGCGTGAGGGGCGCTGTGGGCCCCTTCCCGGAAGGCGGGGCGGGTGGGCGGATTTGAAAGGACCTGTCTGCCTCTGTCATTTTTTTTTCTCACTTTTAGGGTTTTGGCCAAATTGGGCGAGGGCACAAAATAACCACTTACCCCTTCTCACCGAGGAAGAGCGGGAGAAAGGGTAAGTAAGGGTGGCTCAGGGGTGGAAGGAGCTAGGACTTTCTCCTCAGAGAGGGCTTGAAAGCCTGCATGCAGCTACCCATGGGGAACTTGGTCCAAACTCTTGCTTTTCATCAGGATTGGGGAGGCCCACATTCAAAGGTCACAGGTCCCAAGACTCTACAGATTCACGTTCTGTGGGGTTGGCTGAAGTTTGACAGTTTGAGCATATATCCGTTTTAGTCCCTTGACCTACAGGAAACTGGTTTCCTTTCACCTCTTGAACTGAGATCCGTAGTCCTGCAGTTGCCTGTCCCTGTCTTTTGATTAATCCCTGAGACAGTAGGTGTTAAGGAGTCAGGGTCCTGCTTGATAATTAACAGGAGTTCCTCCAGGGAACCTTCACATTTTAAAAAAAGGACTACTAAAAAAAAATAATCCTTTAGAAAAAAAAAATCCTTTAGGACCCAAAAGCAAAATGTTAATACCGCAACAGTATTAACAGGTGTTGAAGTTCTTTTGGGATCTTCTTTCAGGATTCCAGAAAAAGGAATTTGGATGAGAGAAATTACCAGGCTGGGCATTTTTCTCTCGCCTTTCACTTTGCTGGCCTCTCACAGGCATTCTGTTCACTTGTGAAAAGTTGCTAAACAGCACATTGAAGTTGTGGGAAGTTTCCTGGGATTTTCAGTGTGATCGCTTCAATTGGTTTTTCTCTGGGCCTTTGCCATCACTTCTCCAATGCACTGCTTCCGTATTCTCTATATGGTGAAATGAAACACAGCTCCTCTCAAGTTTGGGTCTCCCTTTGTATGTGTCACATTTAAATAAACATTCTAAATTAAAATTGAGGTCAACTACGAGCAAGAATATAGTAAACCACATTCCTGACACCTGAAAACCAAAACTGCCCTCTTTGACCATCTTGTCATTGGCTGCTTGTGAACCTGCCTTAACTTGTGCACTACAAGTGACCACATAATTTATGGGAAATCAGGAAATAGTTGTTTACTGGTGATAGGTTCATATATTGATTGAGAAGATATTTATTCTCTTTTCTGCCATGTGGTGAACACATTTGTAAAAGGAAAATGGTGAAAAAAATGAGACTGTGAAGACAGCCATTTTGGGAAAGGCTTCTCACCAGTTTTCTGTGGATTTCCTGCATAATTAGGTGTAAATGGACAAGAATATCCCTATACGGCTGGTCCTAAAGGTTTGGAGTCTGTAGAGTGTTGCAGAAGAACAGTATCATTATTCTGCCTTTCTAATACTGCCAGTAATAAACTTTCAAGCATGACTGACCATGGCAATTTGTGTCTTACAATGAATAGTGTTATAGTCATTTTCCAGGGTAATAAATATATTATACAAGGATAATAATTATATGAGGAGAAGTTTTTGAACTTCCATAAGAAGCCCTAATATTATAAAACCCTGAGAGGATGGTACACTTAGGAAAATAAATACTGAAGGAGACTATTAACTTTCATGAATTTCTGTGCATTTAGCTTTGTTTCTTTATCCAACTGAGAAAAATCCTTTTGTCTTTTTCTGAGTAAAGGTCAAAACAAACTTTAGAAGTAAGTATTGCAGGGATATTAAAAGAATTGAGTTTTCACTTTGAGATGATTATTATTACCAATGTGGTGTTTACTTCAGTTTTTTATTTCCTATGTATATACACTAAATACACAATTTATATTACATATATAAATGTTACCCATATGTACAGCTTAGCATATATTGACCATATATACAGTTTCGTTATCTATTAATATGTCTGGTTCATATATGTATGTCTATAAAGAGAATATATGTTATATATCTATAAAACATAAGATACACATTTCAGTTTTTTTGTAAAATTGTAAATTTCTTCTTTTTCCTCCAGTATTTTAGCTATTTACCACTACTTACTCTACCTCAAATCCTGGCATAGAAGTATATTTCCACAGCTGGGCATGGTGGTGCACGCCTGTAATCCCAGTACTCACCTGTAATCCCAGCACTTCAAGGCTGGCAGCAGCATCACTGCAAGGTCAAGACCAGCCTGGGCTACATAGTGAGTTCCAGGGTAGTCTGAACTACATAGTGAGACACTGTCTCAAAAAAAAAAATTGCCTTTTATAGTCTTCAATTTATTTTTTTCTTGTACTGGAGACCAAGTACAGCCTTATACATGCTAGGCAAGGAAGGGTTTTACTTTTGAACTGCACCCTCAGCCCCTATAGTCTTTCAGATACTATTTGAATCCTGGCTCTTATTTTATTTGGTATGCTGCTTTGGTCTACTTAAAATTTATCTGGTCCTAACCGGGCATGGTGGCACACGCCTATAATCCCAGTACTTGGGAGGCTGAGGCCGGAAGATTGCTGTGAGTTCAAGACCAGCATGGGCTGCACAGTGAGTTCTAGAACAGTCTGAACTACATAGTGAGACCCTGTCTCAAAAAACCAAAAAAAACCCAAAAATCTGGTCCTTCATTTATCATCTGTCAGACAGAACAGTGAATATATATAATAGTTTGTAAAAAAACGGTTCCTGGCATGTAGCTAGTTAATTCCCCTCCATGTTTCTTTATCTGATTGCCCATTACTTTCCTATGATCCTCCTTTTGGTATCAGAAAAGATGCTAAGCCTCCTGGGCATATGTATTTTCACAGTAGATCACGTGCTGTATCTGATCCTGGAATTTCTGAGGCAAGGACTGACACCAGATGTAGCTCCTTTCCCCCTATCAGATCATTCTGCATTCCCGCTTAAAGAATGTCAGCTTGAAAAATGAAGGGAAAAGGTTTCTGTAATATGTTTAAAAAGCTCTGACACTGTTACCAAAGTGAGAAAGACATAATACTGCATTTAGCTCAGTGCTTAAAGTTGGGAGTTCTATTTCAGTAATGTCTTTGGTTTATAAGAATTACAATAAAAATGCTGAGGCTTCATGTCCAAACTGTCATGATTTTGCCTAGTTGCGGGTTTAATATACAGCTAAGCTGTGTATTTAGTGTGTCTAAAACTGCTCTGGAAGCTGAGAAAGACAAGTCCACAGACATCTGATTTCACACCAGACATCTGGTTTCACTCTCCTAAGGAGTACATTCTGTCAGTAGATTATAGGCATATCAGCTGTACTGCTATAGTCCAAGGCATTTCTATTAAAGCTCTGGTCTATAGGGCTTAGGGTGATGTTTTATTCAAATGACAGCACACTGAAAATGAGCACCTGGTCAGATAAGCACATTTCCCACATGTGTCTTCTACTGTCATTGTTCTCATAAGTTAGCAAGACAAAATAGTTTCTATCCTTGGTGATTTTTACATTGAGGTTTTTTAGAAGTAAAAATATTCTTAAAAGCCTCAATAAAAACCCTCATACTATACATTTTAAAGTCCATTATTATTTGTAATTTTAAGTCAACTTAAAGTAATAAAGCATTTAATAAGCATTTAGAGTTCCAGGTCAGGACACCAAGGTTTTTAAAAACTCATTGTGTACCCGTTACGTTACTAGTGGTAATGATTAACTAATCTATATAATAATAATTTTTGAAGAAAATTGTATTCTTGGGTCCAACCTAGAATGGCTAGATCACATCCCCCTCTATTTCGAGGTAGTGATGGTGCATAGAAAGGCCCTGGATGCTGTCAGTTTGGGATGGGCTCTGTCACCGTTTAGCTGCTGTGACTGGCCACAAATTTCCCAACTATAAAATAAGATTATTGTAGTTACTGTGAGACTGATTGTAAAGTAGCAAAATGTCTGCCATAAAATAGATCCTTAACACATAGCTATTTGTTTTTTCCTTCTAGGTCCTTCCTGGTTACAGGAAAATACCCTCCCATTTGTCATCCTGACTAACCCACTAACCAGGGCTATGGCTCCAATGGAGAGGAGTTGCTCAGGGTATCTGGGATTTGGTAGTGGGGCCTGGGAAAGGGACGTGCAGAGTAATGGCAGAGGGACGTACTGGTGAGCTGAGAAGTCCTTGGACTTTTGCTCAGCCCATGGACTTAGCTCAGTGAACTGCTTGACTCACAGAAAGAACCATCTTTAGAACCTTCTTTTTCTCTGTCTGTTGGTCTTTTGCGCTGTCCAACTGAGAACTCTTATCTCATTTTCTGCTTAGTTTAATACAACTTTTTTCTTTGATATTTTCATAATACCTGAATAACTATACATTCTACATTTTTATGAGTAAGGCATAACAATAAATGTTCAGTGGGTCCTTGGCTTACAAACTCAATTCGTTCCTGAGGGCTGGTTTTAACTCAGGCTGGTCAATTGCCTTCAAAGCCTCCTGTACCATTTTAGGCCATACTTCCAGACAGATCTCAGTATCTTTAGAGAGACATTGGCCCAGGATTTCTCAGTTAACCCCATATAGGAAAGAATGTTATAATGTTCTTTCCAGAACTCTTTAAGGGCTAAATCTGTATCTGAGAGCATCTGGAAGCACAAGTGGCCGGCATTTGGGTCATAACTCAAGACTGTGGCCATAAGTTAAAACTAAAATTCTACTCGTAACTCAGGTTGTTTGTAAGTCAGGCTGGTTGTAACTCGAGGATCCACTGTTGTTTCTTAAGATTGTTTTTTCCTTATATGTTCAATTGTTTTTCTTGCCCTTTTGTTGGTTTACAGTTCAGTCATGAACTCACCCCCACTTTAAAAAATTATGTTTTATGCATTGGAGTAGTGCTGAGGTTATAAAGATGAAAAGTCACTGCTTAACCAAGGAGCTTAAAGTTTAGTAGGATGATGGATGTCTATATACAGTTTAAATATAGTCTGTTATTTGCTGTACTGGAGGTAGGTTTAAGTGCAATGGAAACTTAGCAAAAGCTCTTGATCCTCAATGGAAATGCCAGGGAAGGATTTTAGTGGTAGTTGTGTTTGGGCTGAGACTTGAAAGCTGAGTAAGAGTGGGCAGCTAGAAAAATAGCCGAAAGCATTTCCAAGGGGAGCTAAGAGCATGAGCGGTTGTGTGGTTCTGTGAGAACATAGCATGTTCTGTATGTAGG